GTATTGAATCGGATGCATCCTGACCATGTCATATTGTCAGAAGAAGTTTCCTTTAGGAAATAAGGTTGCTCATTAAGCCGTAGAACATATTTGAGTGTTTACTTTGTCTTCGTATCGTACCGAGTATTTAATTTTGAACATTTATTTTTGTCAGAAGTTTGTTTTGTCGTGACCGACAGATAGACACCATCATTTCTGTTCATGATGATGTTCAGTCTTATCTGGATTAAGCCGGTAGCGGCAGCCGAAATTTTTGCTCTCTGCCAAAAAGCCGTGTCTATTGTTAATAAAGTTTTAATTTAATTTTAATGCTTTGGTCATGAAAAGATATCTGAATTTTACTTATTTGCTTTTATCAATTGTGCTGATTTGTAGTTTGCTATCAGATTAGTCATAGAGCGCACGCATTTATCTGGTATGCTTTGGCTTAACCACATCAAGGCACCATGCTGTTCCTGTCGTTTGCAGGTCAACGACTTGGTATCTGCTTTTTGGGTGACACAGGGTGAATGGATTATGTACTGAAGAGATTTTGCTGTTAGTAAGAGAAAATTTACGATTCTACTCCACAAAATAAAAGACAGAAAAGATTTGAACAAATCTCGGTCCATCAGTATTCTGCCAGTCATATACATCTTCACTAAAGTAATGACGAACAGATGGAACGACTAACAACTAGATGCTCGCAGGACTGCCCACAGACTGTTGCGCGGGATCCGGTCGTATGCTTTTTCTGGTCAAATAAGGAAATGTTTGCTGGACTGGTGAACTTTCATGATTTCTTAGCAATCTGGCACAGAACAAATATATGGTCAGATGTGTTTCGGGCGGGCCGGAAGTCACGTTGCTTTTCTTTTGTTTTCTGGAATCAGTCATTCCGCGGCACCTCTTTTCTAGCTTCCTTGCGAAGACTTTACCTGCTAGGCTTAATAATGCAGTGCCCCGATAATCGCAGCACTCCCTGCGATCTCCCTTCTTGAGTAGGGGTACAATAACCCCTGCTCTCCAGTCCGCTGTCTTCCCTGTAGTTGCAGTTTGACAGACACGTGTTAGCCAGCACATGCCTTGTTCGCCTAATGCCTTGAGCATTTCAGGGCGAATATCATCAATTCCAGCAGCTGTTCCATTTTTCAAGCTTATCAGAGCTTGTGTAATTTCTTTCACAGAGATAGTAATATCCGTACTCTTCTGTTCTGCAGGCGAGTCTTCCTGCGGTTTCTGGGAGTTGAGGAATTCGTCAAAGTGCTGCCTCCATCATTTAAATCAGTTCTGATCTTTTGTAGACTTGCTGTTCAGGACTCTTAGTCTGTCATTCTTGGCATTTTGTGGGTGGCGATGGTCTGCAAGAATACTTTGTTTGTTGTTTGAAAATTCGACTCCTGGCTAACGCCTAACTGAATTTTTTCCAAGAATCAGCGAAATGATTCGAAAAATTAAGCGTTGGCCATTGTTTTCACTGCCGTCTTGCGCGCTTCGTAGTAAATAATTCGATTTTAAGGTTCGAACATCTGATTGTTTCTATACGCAAAAACTGGCATGACTAAAGGCATCACGTGCTAATGAACTCGATGATGATGACATTGAAAAGTAGAGTATAGCAAAGGCCGCGTATTAGGATTTTTTCCGCCGTCTCTTCAAATTCTTTCTCTAAAAGTAATCAATGACTGTCGTGTCATCTGTGTCTCGCCCGTCTGAAACTGTTCGTGTTTCCATTACGTGATCAAAGTCCATGATGACAAATGTGGTCAAGCGGTTCTTACGATAGACCTCCTTCGCTACAGATGCAAAAGCTCGTGCAGTGGTGTGAGAAAAATCGAACAACGTTCTAAAACATTGTTGTTTCACTCGATTTGTGTTCCGCGTTTCCAACACATGAATCATGGTTCGAGGCTATTCGCCATCACAATTAGTCTCATTACTACGTCTGACCAGACATTACAAGACTTTTAAACGATGCAGGGCGTCAAGCTCTCTTCGATTTCTATCCGTCATTCGTTCAGGGGTGCCGCATATTCAACGGGAATTACGAAGTGCCTCCTGAGGCGTGTTTCAATAGATCGTGGCTGCCATCTCCATCACCTGGCTATCGTGTATCCCGTGGCTATTTAATTCATGTTGCTAACACTTGGCTATTCTTCAAGTGCGCCTAAGGTGGTCGTTACACTCGGTCATTTGCAACAATATGATTTATGTGGCATCGATAAAATATTTTGTTGTCCAAAATCCAACGTTGTCCGAATTATCTATTATTATATGTCGCAGTGCCCAGGGGATAATGTACTGTAGTCAACAGCCCATGCTAACGTGGTTCAGGACGAAATAATGGAAGGCTTTGATGTTCCTTACATATGTGAAGCAGTTCTGTGTATGATGAGAGTGCTTTAACCATATTGCTAGACGGAACTGGAGAACAGGTTTTAAAATAGTATGTTTGGCAACTATACGACTGACCAACCATGCAATCAATGAAGGAGGAAACAAACCCCGGATTGAGGACTAATGAAATGATTATAGTAGTGTTGACAGAAGCTTGCATATTTTGCATGACTTTTACACAGACGTATGCAAACAATAGTTCATAGCCGTTTCATCTGAGCTTTGAGAAAACGTTTCTTCTTTCAACCAGTCCTCTTTTAAGGGCATGAGGCGATCATTTCTAAAGGCATGAGGAAACCGTTTATCAGTGCTTTGTTTGTTATTTAAAACTTCACGAACTACCGTAACGACAGTCAGCAGTCTGATCGACTATGCGTAATCTAATATGCAGTTTCGTACGTTTATAATCATTCACTATCAGAAACGTAAAGACGAGGTAAAATTTACGACCAGTGTAGTGTAGATTCATTGCAATACAGTGGCACATTCCCTAGACTTAGAGCACGTGGCATGACACAAGGGAAAGGAAAATAGGATGTGTGTAACCGCCGGAATGTGGGTCCTCCTTAAAATTCATGATGGGTAGTTTCTGCCCCCTTTTTCCATGAAGTTAATCGTTGGGCATTAGTCCTAAATTTCGTACCATTAACCAGGAGCAACACACTGTTTAAAGGAATAGCAGATAGCAGGTGTGTTACAGTGCGTAGTGTAGAATCTCATGTTTCTTGCCTATTGAGTGGTCTCGAAAGGAAGAAAGGTAAGTGCCCGGACCACGGATCTCGATAATTTATTACTACGTAGAAACAAACAAGGAAGCGACATGACATACGTGCTACAGTGCTGCAGAAATTCTTTCATAAATCATTTAATCGTTGCTGACGAGCGTCAGTCGTCTCCGTTCTTAGCAACGTTCGATTTACGGCGAGCCTAATGAAAACTCATAGAATCTCTTAGGTTGCTAGGAGCGAGAGAACGGTGTTACCATGCCATGTAGATTGGTAGATTTTTCAAGAGATTATGTGTGTCTGTTACGTAAAAGTTCACCCATATATTTACCCATATCTAAGGCACAAAATCCACCTGAGTCGTATGCTACACTTTAAACCTTCCTGAGCCCTGAAACTTCACTGTTACGTGAATTGCGTTCTGTGTGTCGCAAAAACCACGTGGACGTGAAATCGAATCCCCAATGTCACGAATCGTGTCAGCTTATATACGTCCACAAAATCTAATTAATTAATTTTTTGTAGAGTTTGTCCGTTAAAGTTGGCTTGTTAACAACGGTTGAACAATTATACGACTCACCAAAGCAAAAGTTTCATTAATGAGTTCTGGAATTTGCGAGACTCCTTGTTTGAGATGACAGTTGAGTGCTTAGAAACTGTTGCTTGAGTTGCGTCAGCTTTTAATGAGGTTGATATTTTGGTACATAGAAGACATCAAAGCACAACGTCCAGGAATTTAGATCGATTGGCTTTCCTGCACTGATGCAAACTGATGACATCCGTTGATTTGTGCCATTAATAAAAGTTGACTTGATCCGTTGGGCAGGGCATCCTGGCCAGGCGATTGCGCCGTCTCCTCGGTCTCCCATGCCGGAAAAATACCGCTATGAATAACACTGGAGAAAATTGACCAAGGTCGCTGATGATCAGGCAAGATTCATCTTTACAAAGATGTGACAGGACCATCTCATAAATATTTATGATTATGTCGAGAGCGTTCACAAATCACTGTGCTTCTATTTTGGGAAACCACACATTACAACATATGTTTCTATGCGATCACACGACGCTTTATAAACAAACTATATCTAACATGAGATTTCCGGTGCACGTCTTCCAACCGCTGCAAGGTTCCCTGTCAACGTACTTGTACTGGCTTACCGGAAAGCCACATAAACGGGTGTGTGTGTATAAGTGTTTAGATCACGGTTTTGACCTGATCCCATAAGCAGAATGTTTCAGGTTTGTGACGCGTGCTGCATGGCGATACTTTTGCTGTAAGGCACCGGCTACTGCCTCTTAAACGAAATGTTTCTCTAACTTATTCCTCCATGTTGCGTTCGCATCCTGGTCGATGTCCGCCGTGCTTCTGCCCCCCTCCCCCAACAGACTAGCTCATGGCCTGG